GAAAAGGACTTTTGATTAATTCAGTTGTAAAGGAGAGATAGCACTAATGGTAGGATCATTGGATGAAGCATCCGTATCTGATGTATTTGATGACCAAAGTAACAAAACCAAATTTGTAAAAGTAGAATAGTGTATTCAATTGGTGGGATCTTGCAAACTTTTAGATACTTTCTTTCAGAATGATCACAAATCTTGCTAGATTAAGCAATCCATGCTCCAATGGATTGAAGAGATCCCAGAAAAATATACTGGTAGTTCATTTCTATGACAAATTTGTAGAACTGCTGATCCTTTCTGACAGCTAAGAATCAAGGGCTGAGTGCAATGGTGGTTTGCAAGCGGTACGCCCCGGTACGGGCATATTGGTGCCTACCCGGAGCACCAGGTACCGTTCCGGTACGGTGCTCCGGAAGGCCCACCTGCCCGCCCATTGTCCTTACCTGTAATTGAACTCTTCTGCACATGGCATGTATAGCGCCTGCGCGACGCTCCTCCAAGCAGCTGGAGTGTTGTGGAGGCTCGCAAAGGCGGCACTGGAGGGTAGGATGCATGTGCACGCTGCGCGTGCTGTGCATATGTGCATGCGTGCTGCGCATGTTCATGTGGTGGACCCTGGGCCCCATTGCACCGTACCGGTTGCAACGGGATCCAAAACTCACCAATGGCTGAGTGCTATGTTTCTGAATTTCTAATTGTTTCAGGCGATTTAGCTCTCAAAACAGCTTATCAACATGTACCAATATATTTTAAATACAATCATTTGTTTTGTTGATTCGTTACTTTCTTAAACTTTATAATGCACATGTCTTTCAGTCTGATCAATGAAGGTGAAACATCTGCCAGAAAGTAGATTGAACTGTATCCTTGATAATATATTTAGGTTAGTAATGTACATGAAAGAGAGATCAGATATTTTCATTCTAGAAGGAAGTGCTTTTCTAAGTTCTGTTCACTCTCCCAGGTATAAATGGAAAGGGTTTAAACTACTTAAGAAATGAATACTGAAGCATTTCAATTTTGCTTGCTCAAACAT